ATTTAAGTTAAAGCCATACGAGTAAATAAATTGACGGGCCACTTCCAGCGGAATTTTACTTTTTGGGACATTCTCTAAAAGAAAATTATAACTTCTTTTTTGCCGATCACAGGTCTCAGTAGAAACCAAATTGATGAAAGGCTCTAATTTCTCATATTGCTGAGAGGTGAGCGAAGAGAAATTTCCATCAAAGATGGTACTGAGAACCGTAAGCAGACATCGATATTGAGACATGAAATTATTGAAGGTGTCCAAAGCATCAAGATTAAGTTTTTTTGATACTTAAGACGGGTTGATCTTGGAAAAATTTAATACTAAGAGGGTCGTTAAGGAGGGATTTTCGTCTAAAAAATGACTGTGATTTCATATTGAAATTTAAAATATCAGAAGGGTATGCAGTTAGATATATTTTTAAGCAAAGCGATGCAAGAAAGCTTCTCTTAGACAGAAAATAGAATTAACTAGTAGGCTACGTAGCCTACGTAGCGTACGCTGCATGAAAACTAACTCGATTGATATTTCGACAAGTGTAAACTGTATCTTGTTGAAAATTGCGTAATATTTTTAAAATTTGCAATCTAAAATAAATATTCACGTGCTTAATTACGTGTTTTTACGTGAATCTTCAAGAATTCAGATGAGGCTATGTCGGGTGAAATTATGAGGCTATGTAGGGTGAAAAATATGTGGATTGATATTTCGGCAAGTGTACACTATTTCTTGTTGGAAATAGAGTATTCTTTCAAAATTAACAACCTGGCTCAATATCCACGTACTTAATTACATGTTTTATAAGTGAATCTTAAATAATTCCTATGAGGCTATGTCGGGTGAAACAGTGGAAAACTGTATATTTTCACCTTTAGTTAAGGAAAACGACCACCGGTTTGTGGAGTAGCTTAGGGGGTAGAAATTCAAATTGTGAAAAACGACTATGTCAATTAATTCGACAGGATACGATAAAATCCTATTAAAATTTGAAATTTTACTTAGCTGCGGAAAATCGAGTTGCGCGCCAAGGTCAGAATATTTGGCTGCTAAACGCTGGATAGCAGCCGGTTGACCTCCTCTTTTACTGTTCTGCAAAACCGCTGTGTTTCCCCCAACGCGCGCCGCCGCAAATTACGCCGTGAATCTTGCTTAAACATGGGAAAAAGCAATATTATGAGGAAAAAACAAATATAATGGAGAAAAATGCAAAGGAACAACAGTAATCAGTAAAAGTTAACTTGATTCAAACAGGTATAATA